CATCATCTCCTGCCAGCAGTGATGTCGGCTTATGTTCTCGACAACAGCAGACTGTGACGGATAACTCAATAACATCTGCATTCTTTCACATATATTCCTGGTAGGGCAGCAATGGACTCTTACTTCATTTCAGCTGACAAGCTATTTTAGATGTCATATTTGCAAGTTACTACGTAATGCATTTAATTGAAAGGTGCAGTTCATACGTGAACTAGCAACTCCCCTATTCTGATCGCATCGTTTATTAAAATACAGTTTCTTGTAACAGTGTTTTATTAACTGACAAAAGGGTCATGGATTCATTAATTTGCACATTAATGCGTAGCACAATTTGTTAGAAGGTGCAGTTCATAAATTAACCAAGCAACTATCCCATTCTGATTACGTGCACGTTTCTTACAATACAGTTTCTGGCATCTGGTATTTTGTTGATTTCCATACTGCCGTGTTGGGTGAATTTTGAAACATAATGTCAATATTGTCCTGTTGGATGGGTGTTTAAGTATAAATGTCCATATTTTTATTTAGCATAAATGTCCATTTTCCCTTGCTAGACGCAGCTTTAAGTATAAATGTATATATTGCCTTGTTGGACTAATGTTTTACCACTATTGTCAATATCAATAAAAGCATTAAGAATAAAAAAGTTCATCTATCTATAGACTGAATCTAATCATTCTTACCATATATCAAGAAATGGGAAAACATTAATCGCATGCAATGGTCAAAATTATTAAACTTCTTTACTGGAAAGAAATATATACAAATGAGATATTCTTGAGGTTCATCGGTCAATACGACAAAATTATTCGTTCGGCCGGATTTCCACCCTAAAAAATTAAACACAAAGTCAATACTAAATAATGCAGAATTCCCTTAAAAAGAATTCAATTAACAGGTTAAATAAAAAGCCAAAAAAACAATTGATTTACGACTTCATATGAGCGAGTGAAATTCTTTGACATTGTAATTAGACAGAGATTGCAATGTGCCAAACCTGGCAAAAATGCCTTGAAGCAAATTTACCAGGATCTAATCTGGCCAAAGTTTCTGCAAAAGGGAAAGAAATTCGTGGGTGATTGGGGTGATTATATGAGCTCGTCTTTCATGGTTAATGAAAGTTAGTGTGTTTCTGCGTACATTTTCCTAGTGGCAAACACTGAACTGTCTGGTCTTGCCTCGATTATTTACCACCCACCTCCATACATCTTAAAACACATGCACACATACGTACTCATGTATATGGCAATAATATTGACTGATAGAGTGTTATATTACGCCAGTTTTAACACTACTGTGTCAGCTCTACAATCTGGCATGCTGTCTAAACCGGATTATTTCTTCAGTCCCGATGAGTGCCGGTTTAGACAGCTTCCACTGTATTCCGCTAATATCACGGCGGTCGGTACAAGAAATAGGCTGGACACATTATACATATGTGGGGAATCGAACCCTGGACTTCGGTGTGACGTAGAAGCTACTGAAATACTTCTCTACACCGACTGAAATATTGACTTAGACGTAAAACAACATTCTCTCATTAACTCGCCGATTCACTGGGCTGATTAAAGGCACCAGACAAATCTACAATGTCACAAAAGTATGTGGAAAGGCATCCATAAACATGTCTTTCAATGTGAATGATTTGCCTGAAACTGTTGTTATGTTTAATTTAAAGTATTGCGTTATTCACCCCACGTAATGGGGGAAACATGTTCTATGGGGCCACGAGGGAGGATGAATGTTTCTTGTGGGAACACCATCCCTTCCCAAGCCACGGTTAATGGTAAATCGTGCATGTATTAAATATAACAGAACCGGTCTGCCAGACTAATGTGCCACTTGAACGTGAAGACTGACAGCCCAGACTAACATCTGAAATCAGACAAACCTAATCGATGAGTTTTAAGCACCCGCTTGAAGTAAAGTCAAGTCATACATTTGACCAAAAAGTAAAATACAATAAAACATTAAATTCCAGGCAATCAACTTTAACAATCTCAGACATGAAACAAACCAATTTCCAGTTTAGGATGTCCCAGAAATAGATCAAATAAATTTTTAAATCGACGTCCACCAGTTGTAATATTGAAATGCTCATGGGAATCAATGGACGTACTCAGGTTGTTTTGAGTTAAGCTTGTCTCGCACCAGCGACTCTGAAGTAGAAAGGAGATCTGGATTTTCGTGCACGGTTGGATGTTGGAAAGAACGCCCAACCCCGTTAGTTTCAATGTCCAAAGAAGATTTTCATATAGGGATGTTTAATAATAAATGACGGGGTTATGGCTCGGGAGTTGATCGTAGCGATCGATTTAAGAGTATCGCCTGGAGCAGACCTGACAAGGAATGAAGTAAGTAGTCTTCAACCTCAAGATTGGTAGTGTTGAAGACGTACTTAGAGATTCAGAGTAACTGATTTGATGATGGTAATCAAGAGGAACCTATGTGGTCTGAAAGTAGATTATTATGTTAAGGGATCAAAGCAAGCCAAATGCTATTTAAGTGATTACAATGGACTTTGTGCTGTGGTCATTTTCAGGCTGATATTCGGCTTCAGCATGAAAGGTCACCCGGTCATCTGTTGTGGGATCCGATCATGTATTCAACGTTGGCGTTGTCAAACGGCTATATACGGCAGGCACAGATATTTTTGCGCTTTATCTAGTTGAGTTGCGTCCCCTGATCATACTAGGATCCGATCGGCGTTTGCGTTTGCGTCTCAGGGTGTGCACAATAACTAGGGAAGTCAGGTCCATTAAACTGCATCGATGTATTCAACGTGTAACATTACACTACATAATAAGCTAACGCTATAACACTGATACTGTTCACAGGCTCCTTTTGTCTCGGTTTGGTCGAATATAGTTCCATGTAAGGCGGGTGGATGGATGGATTGACGGGTGGATGGATGGAATGGTGGGATTTGGGTGAATTGATTGTGAGTTGTGCAGGTGGTGAGATGGATAGATTGGTTTAAAAAGTAACCTGAATGGTTGAAAGATGGATTAGCAGACGAACGAACGGATGAATTGAAGTGTGGTGGGATGAATTGGTGGATTGATGGATGGATATAAAGATAGACAGACAGAGAATGACATGATAGTGCCAACATATACATTCTATATACATAACTGGATACATAAGCGTCAAAAGCCCCAGTAATAAATGACATAAATATATATCGTCTACAAAATAGGTTGATTACAGATAAATCTATGTTGACAAGATCAGGTTGTTCCAGAAAGGGAAAGTCATCGGTCACTCAGACAGTAGTGGTAATTACTTGCAAGATGAAAGCCTTGAGTAGACTCAATCAAGGAGGATTGGAATGGGTTATATTGCTGGATAACCTCATTGATTAGACAAACACGGTATCTTTCGGAGAAATATTAAGTCCTACCAATATTCAGTAATCATTTGACATTCACAAGAAGCGAAATCGTGTGCAATATTCACTGTGATATTTTGTGTGTTATTGACTGTGGCTCAGTTTACAGAGAATGATCTTGGAGAAAATTACCTTTCTGGGCTGGATGCTGGACGAGCGTTAGTGTTAGTAAAGTCATCATTTAGTCTCTGTTACAGTGGTATGCCGCTGACGGTAAAATAAGATACTTGATGTTACCTTGCCTGGTGCTCGGCATGAACCTCGTGTGAACAGTTGTAAATCGTGACCTTTTCACTTAAAATAACCCAAATTTTGCACACAATATTCGCTGACGATCATCAATATTTTAGGGATATTATTGCAGTGAACACTAAGCACATGTTTTTATAAGGTATCTCACAAATATTCATGGCCCGTAACTTTTGTGCGTTCAGTATTTATATATTTATGAATTATGTATATATGGTAAGAATAATATTAAACAACTCACATACTGCACACAAGAACAACAGTTACGTAAATCATTGCTTATTATGGTCAAGCACTGGATTACCTGGTCCAGGCTCAATTATTTACAGATCAACGTCATATAGCTTGAATATTGCTGTATGTTGCGTTAAACAACAGACAGTATTATGTGAAAGCTCGTACATACCAGTATCACCAACACATCCTTTGCCACACCATGGTGACGTGTACAAGCCTACAAAGTGTGTTAGTAAATTTACATGATCATATCATCATCCCACTTGTCCCGGAGTGAAAGGTCGGATGAACCTGTTGGTGATATTTACAATGTCACGGCTGAACCTGTTTGTGATATTTACAATGTCACGGCTGAACCTGTTTGTGATATTTACAATGTCACGAATGAACCTGTTTGTGATATTTACAATGTCACGGCTGAACCTGTTTGTGATATTTACACATATGAACCTGTTGTGATATTTACAATGTCACGTTACTGCTACATGATATATAATTTACGTTTCCTTTATCGAGGATCCTTTACAAAGCGTGCCCCTTGACGAAATGTTCATTGAACAAGTTATATTTTTTTTTCAACACCGTCTCCAGATATATTTTTAACCACTAAAATGTACTGATATTAATTTTATAAGCGTGTTGATGTATACCTAGTTTGTGTTCACAGGTACATAACGTTCATTCCATATCATGTGCAAGCCACGTTCCTACAGTACGTCCCTGCCTTATGACGTGTTCATGTGTATATATTTACAGGAAAATTTTTCCTTATGACTGGCTTCATCTCACATATATTTGTGAAAACAGAATTGTCCAGTCAGATTTTACAACTAGCTTCAACTTCAAGGTCTTGAACATTTACAACTCACGAGCAAGGATTGATGCTAAATGTGTGATTGGAAACCACAGTCATAAATTTCTGTCGCGCCAAGGGGCCTGAACTCTACGTTACAGACCAGTATCCTTCCAAAGGGCAGATAATTCTGTACCGCTACCAAACACAATTACTCAGATACTTAAAAACACAGCGGGTGAACCGCCATGGTTACAAATATCGTTGTCAGTCACGTATGTTTCCCGTCTTCAAATGTTTTGAAAAATTAAATAAGCACAAACACGTATGTGAAAAAATACAAAATATTTTATTGACATTGACATTAACTTTTTCGTAGTTTATAATAGTTTTGTATTTCCTTGGTTACATTCTGTATATAATTTCCGATTGTCGATCGCATGAAGGAGGAGTATACTTGAGATGACACCTGAATCTTTGGTCGTTTGAATTTGCCGTGCGCGTTGGATACCATGCATACAAGTTCCGGGTCACTGACGCGCATGTCCAGGAAGTTGAACAGCCTTCTGGTTTCATTGAGCATGTTGGTCTGGAGGTCTCGGTACTGCATAATGAGGAGTGGCCCATCGAATTTCAGCCAATCAGTGTTCATGTCCACCCACCCACGTGACTGGAGAGAGACGTACGTTTGCCAGCCTGTAAACCAATATGGGGAATTATCAAGTGTACATGTACATGTTGTGACATTGGTAGTAGCAGCAGAATGATCAGGAGAAGAAGTAGCAGCAGAAGTTGTAGCAGTAGAAATAGCAATAGCAGAAGCGGTAGTAGCAGCGTAAATATAGAACCAGCGTAAATATAGACTGCAATATGTGTGGTATCAGCAGTAGTCGAAGTAGTAGTAGGAGTAGTAGTTGTAGTTGTAGTAGTGGTGGTAGTTTGTTTCTTTGTTGACGTCGCACTCAGCAATATTCCAGCTATATGGCGGCGACTTCAAGTCTGGACCAGACAATGCAGTGATCAACAGCATGAGCATCGATTTACGTAATTGGGAAACGTTGACATGTGTCAACCAAGTCAGCGAGCCTGACCACCCGATCCCGTTAGTCGCCTCTTACGACAAACATGGGTTGCTGAAGATCAATTCTAACCCGGATTTTCAGGGATACTATATGTTTGTCAAGTTGACTTATATTTTGTCGTAAATAGTAGCGACAAATCCCTTTCCGCATCATACAAATATCAAAGGATTTCGCTGCAACCGAAAGACAAAAGAAGTAAAGAAGATTTAAAAAAGTTAACACCACAATGACGGGGTCTTCTCACTGCACTGTTGCTAACAGAAACTTCCAAACCATCAATTACCAGCTCTGAACTGTCAAAAATACCATCAGTGTCACTGTTATTACGTTACAGGGCGACACCGGACTAGAACGAGTTGTGAGATAAATGGTATCTCACACCATATCTTGCTCACCTTCTCTACAGAAATATGCGCAATGCTTTTATACGTTTTAGATTAGGCCTGAATGATTTATCAATTAACCGTGGAAGATACTTTTCTATTGAAAACAAACAAACCAAAGATTATGTCCATTCTTTTATTTATTGAAGATGAATTCGATTTTATGTTTATTTGTCCTGTACATGAAAATCTAAGAAATAATTATCTTCCGCAACTGTCTTCATCTCAAATCAATGTTTAACTATTGTCTTCCTTACTTTCCTGCAAAAAACCTCCAAAACAACACAAAGTAGCCCTATTTATTTACAATGCATTTTTGTTAAGAAAAAAATTGATCAGTCAGAAAGTTGCTTTATATATGTCATTGTTAATATAGATCTCTTTTTGTATATGGGCCTATGGCCTTTCATGCCATAAAGAAATTGAAATTGACAGACACTCTTTTAGTAATCTCTATATCTCATTAGACATAAACTTGGTAACCGGTGAGACACGTCAGAGGTTTTCGTAAGATCTTGAAAAGACTTCTAACTGAAAGAAGCGCAGTGATGGCTTGACTGGGCTACTGTCTGGAAACTGCATTCATTCATTCAATCATTCATTCATTCATTCATGCATTCATTCATGCATTCATTCATTCATTCATTCATTCATTCATTCATGCATTCATTCAATCATTCATTCATTCATTCATTCATTCAGGAAGAAAATAACTAGTTCTCATTCTTTTTAGCAAACATTGAGCAGTGAAGAAAATGAACGTCTTGAAATGAACGTGTCATATGAGTAAAATATATTTATTTCCCCGCCAAATATTTAATACTTGAAACACTAATGACTTGACTGATAGATAACCCGATGATTAAAGCAGGCAATGGGCAAGTCCCAGGTTCCACTCTCAAATGTGTAAACCCTGATGTTTGTCTGATGTTTGCCCGTCCTCAACTAGATAACCCCCATGCCCGTCCTCAACCTACCTTTGGCAAAGTCATGTGGAAGGGCATGACCTCTGTGACCCCCATTACGCCGGTTGAACTCCGCCAGGAGGGAGTCGAAGGGGTCCCGGATGAGGAGCACGGCACGAGAGAACGCCCGGCGATGTTCACTCCCCCACTCGTGGGTCTTCACCATCACCACTCGGCCGTCTCTCACCCCCTTCCCGGGGAAACCATGCTGCTTCAGTGTGACGTCATTGTACACGCTGCCGGTTGCGATGCCTGCAAGGTGAAGGTCAAAATGGAATTTCAAATACAAATGCGCAATGTTTAAGATCTCAATTCACGTGTACATTAGGAATACATTACCTAACGTATGTCGTCATATTTTCATACAAGTGGTGAGTGAGTGAGTGAGTGGTGAGTGAGTGAGTGAGGAGTGAGTGAGTGAGTGAGTGAGTGAGTGAGTGGTGAGTGAGAGGTGAGTGAGTGAGTGAGTGAGTGAGTGGTGAGTGAGTGGTGAGTGAGTGGTGGTGAGTGAGTGAGTGAGTGAGTGGTGGTAGTGAGTGAGTGAGTGAGTGAGTGAGTGAGTGATGAACCAACGATCAGTATCATGGGATTCTGAAATTCATATCCATGGCACAGGGCACTGTCAGGTCCTAAAGACGCAACCCTGCGCAGTGTCCAGACAGCGAATGGAAACGCTGCCTTCAGTGTTCGAACCCACCGAAAACTTTCCAGGAGAATATGTAGGCTGCTGTGTGGGAAAATCAGAGGTATATAACGAAATTATAATAGCTCTAAATTTCATTTAAAACCAACACTGCAGCTCTTTTCTTCACGTTTTGTTTTCAATTTACTCGGAGTGTCAGACGATCTGCGCCCAGAGATCAGGAGGTACCAAACCAAGGGCACCAAGTGAACAATGTGGAGCCTGACGACAGTGTTCTTGGGATGCAAGCGAGACATTTGAGAAGGCGAGGTCCGCATATTTAGCATGCTTTTCCTGAAACTTGCCAATCACGTTGCTGTCAAAAGATAATAAATTTAACACGGAAAAAAAAATTCAATGATAGATATACATTCCCTTAGCTTTATCAAAACGCAAGGAAAGATCAAGGCCCCGTTCGTCAAGGTGATCGTAGCGCTAAGTTGATCGAAACTCCTATACTTTAACATAGACTTACGACAGTCGTACGCAGCTGCGATCGCCTTGAAGAACGGGGCCCAGGTTTGTTGGCTGAAATTCTTCTGAGGCTGTATATGTTACTCTACATGGCGCTTGGCATGAACCTCATGTGAAATGTTGTAAATCGTAACCTTTGTACTCAAAATAACTCAAACTCAAAATATTTTCGCTGACCGATATGCTGATTAACATGAGCTTGGGATCATCAGTATTTTGGGGGTATTGAAAACCCTTGAAGATCCGGGTTAGAATTGATCTTCAGCAACCCATACTTGTCGCAACATGCGATCAGGTGGTCAGTTTAGCTGACTAACCCATCTCATCGCATCTTAAGTGTGTAGATCGATGCTCACTGGATTGTCTGGTCGACACTCGATTATTTACAGATCGCCATCATATAGCTGGAATATTGCTGTGTGTGACGTTAAACAACAAACACTGGTATGCAACAGCTCGTACATACCAGAACAACCAACTGCACATACTTGCCACCCCACGGTGACAAGTGCAAGCCTACAAAGTGTGTTAGTTATGATCATATCCTCATCCCATTTGCTCCAGCAGTGAAAGGTCGGATGAACCTGTTGGTGATAGTTGCAATGTCACGAATGAACCTGTTTGTGATATTTACAATGTCACGAATGAACCTGTTTGTGATAGTTTCAATGTCACGGATGAACCTGTTTGTGATATTTACAATGTCACGAATGAACCTGTTTGTGATATTTACAATGTCACGGATGAACCTGTTTGTGATATTTACAATGTCATGAATGAACCTGTTTGTGATATTTACAATGTCACGGATCAACCTGTTGGTGATATTAACAATGTCACGGATGAACCTGTTGGTGATATTTACAATGTCACGGATCAACCTGTTTGTGATATTTACAATGTCACGGATGAACCTGTTTGTGATATTTACAATGTCACGGATGAACCTGTTTGTGATTGTTTCAATGTCACTGATGAACCTGTTTGTGATATTTACAATGTCACGAATGAACCTGTTTGTGATATTTACAATGTCACGGCTGAACCTGTTTGTGATATTTACAATGTCACGGATGAACCTGTTTGTGATATTTACAATGTCACGGATGAACCTGTTTGTGATATTTACAATGTCACGGATGAACCTGTTTGTGATATTTACAATGTCACGGATGAACCTGTTTGTGATATTTACAATGTCACGGATGAACCTGTTTGTGATATTTACAATGTCACGGATGAATTACATGTCACTGATGAACATGTTTGTGATATTTACAATGTCACGAATGAACCTGTTTGTGATATTTACAATGTCACGGATGAACCTGTTTGTGATATTTACAATGTCACGGATGAACCTGTTTGTGATATTTACAATGTCACGGATGAACCTGTTTGTGATATTTACAATGTCACGGATGAACCTGTTTGTGATATTTACAATGTCACCACGTAAGGAAATTCATCTACTGCCGATTACATGCCTGGGCATTCTAGTACCGATGAGTATATATCAGGTGTTAAGTTTATTGGACTCCTTGTGTTTCGTAATCCAAGATCGCTTACAAAGGGATCAAACTGCATCAAACACTTTATGGATGAAGTTAAAGAATTATAATTCAACACCCGACAACAGAAAAATGTATGAATTATACTATTGTCTGGTGATGTAAATAATGATTTTTACCTTGCAGTGTAAGTTCACTCGTCAATGTTGTGACGCTTTCTCCATACCATGTGAAAGCCATTTCTCAACATGTATGCCCTATCCTTAAGCCGTCTCCCTGTGTATATGTTTACATGGACAATCTCTCCTTGTGTCGTGCGTCATGAATATATATGCACGATACCGTTGTCTTTATGACGTCATATGCAGTGAAACTCTCTCCCTATGGTGTGTTCCCATGTATATATGTAAGGATGGTGTCTCCTTATGATGTTCAAATCGCATACAGTGAGTGAGTGTATTTCTACGCCGCCTATGACGTCTTCCTGTGTATGCATTTACAGGGAAAATATCTCCCTGTGACTTCAAGATGTGTCCCCATGTACAAATTCTCTCCTCTCTCCTGGCGTAAGCAGAGCTCATTATCCCAGCCCGACCATAAACATGTGTCTATGAATTATTATCAAACAGTAGTGAGAGCAGATACCCGCGAAAATGTGAGTAACTGTTATCACCCAAATTGGTAACATTTGCTACAAACACACGCGAAGGCAAGTCAAGTGTCCACCGACATCTTTTACTTTGCCTTGGTGGTGGAGAGAACCCTAGATTGTGGGAGCGGACGAGGGGTTTATACACTGATATAGCTAAATATTGCTGAAAACAAAACAGAAAAATACATTTCCACCGGCACACAAATGTATGTTGTCTTGCACCGTTATACCATTGTACGTGTCTTAGTGGTTACTGTGAAGATCGGGGCGGTGGGGAAGCCTAGTGGTTAAGGCGGTCGCTCGTCACGCCGAAGACCCGGGTTCGATTCCCCACATGGGTACAATGCATTAAGCCCACTTCTGGATCCCCCGCCGTGATATTGCTGGAATATTGCTAAAAGCGGCGTAAAACCATACTCACTCACTCACTCACTTTGAAGATCCAGGTTAGAATATTGGCCTTCAGTAACCCAGGCTTGTCGTAAGAGGCGGCTAACGGGATCGGGTGGTCAGGCACGCTGACTTGGTTGACACATGTCATCGTATCCCCATTGCGTAGAACTATGCTCATGATGTTGATCATTGGAATGTCTGGTCCAGACTCGATTATTTACAGACCGCCGCCATATTGCTGGAAAATTGCTAGGTGTGACGTTAAACAACAAACCAACCAATCACATGCCCTGGGCAGGCCTTATTTGTCAATAATATCAGTCCAATGTCTCGGTCAATTGTTCGGTCTTATCTTATTATGACACTGACGCTCACGTGGGCAGATACACCAGCCTTTGATGTACCCATTGTTTGCGAGCTAGGTCAAGGTGACCTATACTGTAACAAAGGGTCTGTTGACATGCTTACGAGCCTAGCGTTAGATACAGATACCAGATTCAGGTGATAGAATTACGCCCAGTTTGTCTTCCTACAATTACTATGACCACATTATGCGGTGCGTAGTCTCCAATCTTTGTGCAATTTAGTTCAATGACTAGTTCATCCACAAATAAACTACCGCCATATGTTTTACATAAATGTTAACGAAAAGAGCCTGTCATTCTGATTCTGATGTGAAGCGTGGACCAAGTTCCTCAATTTCATGTGCCAAGCTATATTACGCTACAGAACCAGCATTTCCACTGCCACCTATTTGCAGGAGACACACGAGGCTCAATAGTCCATGTTAAATTACTGTACAAACACTCGAACCCTTCTGAGCCTGAAACCTGTAGACGATAGACACATTGTATTCAGAGTATTGGCTACAGAACACTCTTTTACATAATATTGATATATGGTGCGGTATATAGACTGTATGCTGCAATCCCCTGGACACATGCACACATAGAAAGACACATTCACACAAAACTATGTATACGGGCATAGTTCAGTGTTATAGACAGCAGCTTCAAGGGATATAGATCAACAGAATGGAGCTCGTCGTGAAGTCTTTCTTTGCGATAAAATTAATTAAAGAACATTCATGTGTTTGACCTTCTTGGTTGTGAGTGAGTGAGTTTCAGGTAAATCACTGTTTGTGAGTTTAATCAGGAGAGACCAAAGTGAATCATGCTGGTGAAAGGGAAAAGTATACTTTCTCATGGATATGCATTAAACAAACATTAAACAATTTGATCTGATCCTATTCTACCGCCCCGAACATCGTATCAACTGTGAGTAGACTTATTATGGTCAGTCTATGGCAATATCCCCAGCGTTCAAACATGTTATCAACATAATTTGTTGAAATTTGAGGCATTAATAATATTCTTCCTCTACCACTGAACTGTTGCTAAACAATAGACACTAAATAAGATTTGGTAACAGAAACAAAGATCTGATATTGACAAGATTATATAGAAATTTATGCCTCATCAGTATGACCCCGTGTACTCAATAATATATTTACGAGTCACCCACACAAAGACCGGACCAT